TGGAGCGAGGGGAAGGAGGCTTGACTGCTGCTGAGCGAGCCTGACGTAAAAGGAGTGTGGTAAAGAGAAGCATGTAGGGTATGGAAGGCAGCTGTAGTAGGAGCAGGTGACACTATAGCAGAAGCGGGAACCGTAGCAGGAACAGGAGGCACTGTGGTAGAAGCAGAGGGCGTTATAGCAGGAGAAGAAACTGTAGCAGAAACAGGAAGCAGCATAGCAGGAGCAGGATACATTTGCGCAGGAGCGGGAACTGTAGCAGGAGCAAGAGACCTCACAGAAGGAGCAAGAGGCCTTGTGGCAGGAGAAGCAAGAGGCCTAGCAGCAGGAGGAGCAAGAGGCCTAGCAGCAGGAGGAGCAAGAGACCCAGGGACAAACGCATCTGATGTAGCAGCGTGAGCTTCATGCGATTGCACCACCTGGCTTAACAGTGCCTGTGGGGGGCGGCTGAACGGGAAGCTTACAGCATTGGCCGAAAAAAGACCTGCGGAAGATGCTTGAGCATGTGCCGAAGGGGAAGGCAAGTAAGGATGATGAGTTGTGGGAAGTTGTGGTGCAGTGAGGGAGGGAGGAGGAGTATGGGTTGATCTGCGGGATGTCTGCTCTGCGGCTGCGTTGGCGTAAGTGTTTGCAGGGATTGACTGTCCAAGCGTCGAGAGGGAAGGCGAGAAAGGATTATGGGTTGATGACGGGAGGTGTGTGGAGAGGGAGGGCAGAGAAGGAGTGTGGGCTGATCTGAGGGCTGTCTGCTCTGCTGCTGCGTTGGGGGTACCTGACAGGCCGGTCGTTGCAGGGAGGGTGCTTGTACTGAGAGTGCAGGCTGTATCAGAGGAGAAAGCTGCAGCAGCAGATAAGGTTGTAGCAGAAGAAAAGGTTGTAGCAGAAGAAAAGGTTGTAGCAGAAGAAAAGGTTGTAGCAGAAGAAAAGGTTGTAGCAGAAGAAAAGGTTGTAGCAGAAGAAAGGGTTGTAGGAGTCGTAAAGGTTGTATCCAGGGCAGAGGCTGTAGTGGAGGCAAAGGCTGTAGCAGAAGGAAAGGTTGTAGCAGAGGTGAAGGTTGTTGCAGGGGCAAAAGGGGTCGTAGGCACTAATGCTGTAGCAGAGGCTAAGGCTGTAGCAGAAGGAAAGGCTGTATCAGCAGAGAGGGACGCTGACATGGGAAGGCAGGTGACGGCATGAGCCTTGGGAGCTACTGGAGCGGGCGGCGGCGGGTGGTTGTGTGCGCCAAAATATGCCACCCGCACCACCACACGCATCTCCGTCTTGTCCGACCCTGTGTCGTCTTCTTCTGCCCGTCCTGCTACAGCCACAGCTACTTTGGCTGTAGCCGTGGGATTGCTAAGAACTGTAGATAATGTGGCACTGGCTGTAGCAGGAGCTCTCGCAGTGGCTGCAGCTTTTGAAATGGCTGCAGCTTTTGCGACGGCGCCTTTCAGCTTTGGGCGGCACGGGTGACGAGCCTCGCCGGCCACTCGATCCTCAACTTTTTTTGCCGGGCAGCCCGTGACATATTTGGATGAGCAAACAAAGTAGAGCCTGCATGAAGGGAAGGAGAAAAGGAGAAAAAGGGGTGCACATTACAGCAGGAGACGACTGAGGAAACGCACAATCTACATGTTGGATGAGAAGAGAAGGGAATGTGAAGTGAAGCACATTGGCTGGCTTCGTCGGGGAGAGAAAACCAGAACTGACCACAGCTGATCACAGCCGACCAGAGTGATGGTAATCAGTGCCTACCGACCAGAGTCAAACGGTGCCGACCAGAGCCGACCTGTATCGACCAGAGCCTAGAAGTGCCGACCAGCGGAGACCAGTTTCGTACAGGCCGAGCAGAATTAGCCGACGAGCCAAGTTAAGCCGAGTTGAGCCGAGGCGACACGAGCCGAGCCGAGCGGAGCCGAGCTGAGCCGAGCGGAGCCGAGCCGAGCCGAGCCGAGCCGAGCCGAGCCGAGCCGAGCTGAGCCGAGCAGAGGCGAGCCGAGCAGTTTAACTGCATTGCTCAGAGCTGTAGCGGCCTATGACTTGCACTGTACACCCTGAAGCCCCGCCAGTCGATGACATATGCACTGCCGGGTCTCTGCACCTGCATGCGGTGATCTCAGTTTGCACATGCCTTCAGAAGTCTCACCTTCCAGACTTGTTACTCTCCGTGCGATGCAGTCGACAGACCAGCCTTTTCGTACCAATTCACAGGCCTGACCTGCTAAACCAAAGTGCTAATAATATTACCTCCTTCACAGGCTGATCTGTTAGCTCGTGCTTAACTCTTCACAGGTTTAACTACCAGTCGTTTGTGCTTACCTCTTCACAGGCTGACCCGCTATTCGCTTGTGCGACGTCTTCTTCCATTTAAATGCATCTGCTTGAGGTGTCTGCTGCTGCTGCAATGCCGCGGCGGCGTGACATTGCGGCGCCGCGTCCTCAATGGTCTTCCCGTTGGCGTCTGACTGCGGCTCAAACTTCACCATCCAACCAGCGGCACTGCCAGTGGCAGTGGCCGCGGGAGGGCCAGCAGCGTCAGCCGCTGGTGCGGCGCCAGCACCCCCACTGGGGGCTGCAGCAGCCGCTGAGCGAAACGATTCTGCTGAATTCGCCGGCAGGGGCGGCGCACAATGCGGTGCCGGCGGCGGCGGAATGTGAATCATTCTCGCGCGGGAGGAATCTGACTCAGGTGAAAAAAGCACAGATTCGAGTAAACCAGCCTGGAGGAGTGCGGTGGTCAGGCTGACTCCGAGGCCGCGAGTCGCATCCCGGATGCGGGGGCCTTGGAGCGCGCGCAGTGCGGGTGACTCACTCGGGCGAGTAAAACGGTGCAACTAGTAGTAGTAGATGAATGCAAAAGGCCCATGTAATGCGCTGTGGTAGTTGTGCCGCAATTTTCGTACTAGGGAACATGTACTAGCTTTCTCAATAAGCTGAAAACCCTAGACTGCTGGCTGAAGGTGAGAATCATGATCCCACTTGAAATTGGAAACGATCATCACGGCCTGATCTTGAGCCGCCCCTGATTCAACATCCTGAAATCACCAGATTCTTGGTTTTGGGAAATTTATATAGGTAGTCACAGTTAATCCCGATCTATCACATTTGGTCACAGGGGTATCACAAACAGTCACAGTACACCTCGTAACTATCGCGTGTGATCACAGTGCTATCACGGATAGTCACACCCAGCCCCGGAAGTCTATCACGTTTGGTCACAGATGAAACGCCCAATCGAGAAGTGTAACTACTCGAGTGACTGTAGGGATTCGAGGTGCACGACGTTTTGTCCGTATTATTACGAAAAAGTTTCGTGAAAACTCTCCGTAACTCGTTCAAAATATTTGCAATTTCTTCTTGGGAGAATATGTCAACGATAACTTACATGGGGAACTATAACGCGTACAGTAACGATTTCGACACTTCTTGTAACTCGCTTAACGCGTCTGATAATTGGCTTAATACGTTTGGTAACTCGCTTAACGCATATGGTAACTATACACTTGCAGCCCATTATGCGAATGGTAACTATATGAAACTCCCGCCGAACTGATCCTGAAATTAAGAAATTTATCGAGTTTGAAAGACTTTACGCACAGCTTTATCTTTCTTGAACAAGTCCTGCCGCGGCTTTGAAGGACCCTGTTTAGTCTAATATCACGGACCAAGACGTTTCAAAGTTTATATATATATATATATGGCTCATACAAAAACGGTTCAAATGAAATTTTTGATAGCATAATTGCCAACTTGCAAAATGATTAAAAAAACTTCCGGCGAAAGGTGTCAGAACTTATAGCTTACTTGTTTCTGTAGGCTATAGTGGGGTATCCCATAGGGGGTACAACCCAATTAGGGTTTCCTATTTGTACTCACTTCTCTTCCAATTTCTCGATACTCTCCCCTAGGAGAAACCCACTCGAACTTACCTATCTCCTAGTGTGGGCCTAGGCTACTAAGCCTAGGCCCCACACCTACTATTTTCACATGGTATCAGAGCACAAGTTAAAGAAGCAATAGTTTAGAGTTAAGAATTATGAGCAAAGCTAGTGGTAGTCACAACGGGCAAGTGAGGAGGAGGAGAGAGAGTGAGGGGAGAGGAGATAGGAGGAGACGGCTGAAGCTGCAGAAGAGACACACGTGCACTGACCTGGGTGAACTGCGCAGCTACCTTGGCTTGCAGATCACCCGGGACAGAGCACGCCGCACCATTACCCTGACTCAGTCACACATGGTGCAGCAGGTCCTTCAGCGCTTCGGCTTCACGTACTCCTCGCCTCAGGCCACTCCTCTGCCTACTCGCCACTCGACTCTACGGACTCATCCGAAGGCAGAGCTGAGAGCGAGTGGCGAGTAGGCAGAGGAGTGGCCTGAGGCGAGGAGTACGTGAAGCCGAAGCGCTGAAGGACCTGCTGCACCATGTGTGACTGAGTCAGGGTAATGGTGCGGCGTGCTCTGTCCCGGGTGATCTGCAAGCCAAGGTAGCTGCGCAGTTCACCCAGGTCAGTGCACGTGTGTCTCTTCTGCAGCTCGGACTTCACGTAGGCGAGTCCAGCAGTGTCAGCTGTGGCAAAGACCAAGTCGTCGACGTACACAAGGATGTAGAACGGCGGCAGAGAGGTGTCGGTGCGCAGAAACAGCGACGGGTCGGCAGTGGAAGGAGCAAACCCAAGTGCCGCCAGCGTAGTCCTCAGTGTGTCGTGCCACTCACGTGGCGCCTGGCGGAGACCGTAGACTGGACGCCGGAGACTCCACTGGGTACCAGAAGGGAAAGACCCAGTGAAGCCAGGTGGGCGACGCAGCCAGATCTCCTCGTGCAGGCTGCCCTGCAAGAAAGCTGTGCTGAAGTCGAGAGAGTGCAGCTCGTAGTCACGGTGAGCAGCAACGTGTAGCAGAACCCGAAGAGTGGTCATCTTCGGGGTGGGGGAGAAGGTCTGAAAGTAGTCAACCCCCTGCCGCTGACTGAAGCCACGAGCCACGTAACGCGCCTTGAAGACAGGCGGAGAACCCGGCGGCCGCTTCAC